ACTCCAAATCAACAAGACACTAAAGCAAAATATAAAATACTACCTTTCCTTCGAGATCGTTGGTACTTCACTGATTAAACGCCTCTGCTTGAGATTCCATGGCCATAACTATAAGGGAAAGGAACAAAATTTTTTGTCATCCATTACTATAGTAGTTGCAAATATTTCTTGGGACAACTTGAATGTAATTTCACTTGGTTTCGATCAATGCCAAAACTTTTAGTTTAGTAAACTGCTGTGTATTACTTCTACTTGAGTTGGGTAATGTTTTTATGTTGTTGTGTGCATATTTGGTATATTGGGTGATGTTGTGCTCATCTTTTGCATATGGTTGCTGCTGTATAATGGATTTATTATTTGGGATACATTTCGAGGCCATTTTCTAAATTTTTTTAAATGAGCTTGAAAAAAAGTAAGCATATTTCATACTTGGTAATTCATTTCTTGCTATTATATGTTTCTGTGTACAACTGGGTGATGTTACGTGCTCATCTTTTGCATATGGTTGCTGCTGTGTAATGGGACTGCTATGATGGAATTCATGTTGAGGTCATCTTCTCAAAATATTGAGAAAGCTTCCATATTGAAAGTTTCTTCAAAGATATCCATTTTGGTTGAAAAAAAGGCTTTGATGTTGCTGTGTCTCAAGGATGCTCTTTCACTTGTATTATCCTTGTATTTTCATTGCTATAAAAGTTAGAAATGGCATTCTGTACACTTGTAACATCCTTGTAATATTCAATCTGTATTTGTATTTCCATCCTTGTAACAAGGGAGGCTAACTTCCATTAATCTGCTATTATTTGTGTAACTTGTATCTTTTATGCAGTGGGAATTGATAGAAGGTTGACATTAGTTTTTTCCTTTGAAAATTTAATTGCAGTTTTGCTTTAATGTAACTTTTAGAGAATATTGATTGCAATACAAGTCTTTGTAGATATTAGAATTTATTTGTCTTGAATGCCTTTCGTTTGTGTTTTTTCTTTTCTTTTTGTAGGACGTTGTCTGAATTCAGGTTTTACTTAAATAGGTTATGTGACTGATTTAATGTAAGTGTTATATAGATGCTATGCAATTCAACAATGGACAATGGAGTAAAATCACTAATGAAAAATGGATTAATATCACTAGGTAGATGCAATTCACAATCACTAGGTATATGCAATTCACAATCACTAATGGGAAATGAGCAATATCAATTTTCAGTAGTTTTCAATTGCAAGCATTTATGAAAATGATGCTATTAATCACAATGATATATTCTTAAAAATAAGAATAAAATTTTTAAAGTCTTAAGTCATAATTTCTAATTTTATTCCAAATGTTTAAGGGAAAAAGAAGAAGAAGTATGTGTAACAAAATTTTCAAACCATATATAGAATATACTTTTATATAAAATATAAAATATACTCTTTTATATAAATATAATGTATTAATATATTTAAAATTTTTAAAAACAAATTAAAAACACTCTTTACCAAATATGTTTCTTATTTTTTATTCAACAATTTTGGTAACAGTTTGACTTCTGTCAAACATGTTTTGTTTTTAAATTTCTTGAAATGAAATACCTCGCCAAACATGTTATACATGTTTCTGTTTCCGAAATTCCCACTGCAAATTTTCATCCCAAACATGCTTCAATTTTCAACTCATAACACTTCATAACAAAACACTTGTTTTGTTTTAGGCTAAAACAAAACGCAAAAAACACAACGCATACCAAACAAGGCCATAGAGAGAGAAAATAATGAACTAGAGAGAGGGATGTGGTTGCCAAAAATGGGGGAGGAGGGTGTGATGGCTTGTCTTGCAACTTTGCTTCCAAGGCTAATAGTGTGCCACTTGTCACCATCCTATGGTTACCAACTTATGTTTAAGTTATTAACATGCCCTTTGTGACGACCTTGGATTTTTACAAACCCAGTGTATCCTATGATGACCCGAAACGGATTCAAAATGCGGAAACTAAACTTAAACAAGTCTAAAGTGAGTTATATGCAAATTACTATTAATTATTAATTTCTCAAATTAATATAAGACATGCATACAAGTTGTATAAGTTTCTAAAATCATCAATACAACTCAAAAATAAACATATGACATCCCCTACCTCACTAGAGAAGTGTCTCTTTAGAATCCAGGGCAAGCAAGCTCAAAAAGGTAAACCCTTCTAGGGTTATGAAGAGGAAGGTGATGCAAAGCTTTTGTATTCTAAGCTTTATAGTCAAAGGTAAGTGGAAGGGGACCAAAATGAAGCTTAAAGCTCTAGGCCAAGCTTTGCTTCAACGGTGGCTAGGTTAGGGTTTGAGAGGAAATAGATGAAATGAAATTAAAATGAAAACCCTAAACTAATTTTGGTGAATTCCTCCACTCATTATGTGCTCTTACATTACCTTTCACACATATACTAATGCAAGACTAAATTTGGAGCCTACACTTGTCACTCATCCAAGTATCCATTGTAGGGTTAATCCTAAACCTACACTTGTCAACCATCCAAACCAACAAGTGCACTTATCCTAGATCAACAAGTGGGTGAATCTCCACCCTCCACATGTCATCATCCAAGGTATTAAAGTGTCTCCACACAAATGTCAACAAGTGGACCAATGAGAGTATGATTTTCTACAAAAGTAAAAATACATATAGCATGGAATTTAAATATCGTGAATGCATACAAAACCGGAATCAAATCCGAACACGAAAAGTGAGGTTGTGCCAACAAAGTGACAAACGGGAAAAAGACGAAAAGTAAATAATGCCTAAAAAGTGAAAATGTGAAAATGACTCGGTCCTTAAGGGAAATTGTCAATCTTAAGGAAAGAGTTTTGGAAACCATTTTCGAGCACTCGAGACAACACTAAGTGATAAGAAACCATACACATGAAATAAAAGACAATGGAAAAAATTTATTCGTAAAATATGAGGAAAAAGGAAATGAAGGAAAATAACCGGGTCATTACAATTTTCCCATCTTAAAGGGATTTCGCCCTCGAAATCCAGCCTCGACAAAACAAAAGGCAAAGTCAGGGTAACTACGGAGTACATATCGAGTATCCCACACAACATGCTATAAAAATAATCCCAAAATTAAAGGAGAACCTATAAACCAGTGTTATTTGCACCACGTGCTCATGACGACCACTCTCAAATGAATGATGACCACACGGCCACACAATAAGTCGAAACTCACACACGGAACTCAAGGTCAGACAAAGGAACGAAAGACCACAACCGTAAGTATCCCTCATGACGAATCATCATACTGATCCAAAAACAACCACCAAAAGAACTCCAAGATAACCACGTATCTATTGGCCTAATCTAAGCACATTGGGCTAATAATTTTTTTACTAAATAATAAAAGTGGCATAACTCATTCGCATTACAATTAAACGAAGTACGCAGGGTGAAGTCAGTACTAGTGGCATAATATATTAATATTCACCACTTGGTAATTTATAAGCTGGACCAGTTTATTTATCAGCCCAATTTGAGCACATTGGACTAAATTTTTTTTTACTAAATAACCCGTCCCGACTCACAATTAAACGAAGTATGCGAGACGGAGTCGGTACTACGTCTTCTGAAATAGAGGCAAAAATTGTATACAAATTACAAACCTATCCCAAAATAGGTGCAAAATTAATATGACAATTAGTCAAAACCCCCCAACTCCGTTTCGTTACCAAAATAAATTATTTTTGGCCAAACAAGACTAGCTAAATGGTGACAATTTGAATTCAGGAGTAGTTTGGAAATGGAATGCTCCACTCATGTTAAGCTTAATTGGATTACAGTTAAATGGTGACATATAATTTAGTTTAACCAATATTTTAAAACTTTATCAAGGTGAACAATCTAAGATTGATATTAAATTTTAAAATAAAAATAAAATTACCTAGTTTGTAATAAGGCATACTAGAATTTGTTTGAATTTAGAACCAACTTTTCTCTATATCAATTTTAATTTCTAACTTTACCATCTAAGTTTCGGATTAGAAAATGATTAAAAAGTGAAACAAATTGAACATGAATAATGATAGGGAGACTGATGAATTAATCACGAATAAGTATCGAATTTGATGTATTTTTGTCCACCTCATCTACTTAAACAGTTTTCAAAAATAATTGTTTAACACGTGATAAGAATGATAAGAATGACCAATCACGTCTAGGGATGGCAACGGGGCAGGTTTGAAGCGGGTTTTCCTAAATCCCACCCCACCTCTTTTAATTTTTGTCAAGTCCATACCCGCCCCGAGACCCGCGACGGGTTGGATTTTAATGTCCAGCCCCGCCCCGTTGAGAAATGCTGTGCCCCCGTGCCCGCCCCGCTAACAAAATTTTTTTTCTTACTTTTTAGAATTTAAGCTCCTGCTATTTAAATGTGGAAAGCCTGAGAATCGCACAACATAAATGAAATTATGTATCCCAACAAAATAAAAAAATAACATACACATAACATAATTCAGATAACATAATAAACAAAAATAAAAGTTTAATACAACCAAATCACGAGAAGTTCTAAATTCTAACTTCTATCATAATCAAAACAAAAGTAAATTTAATGCCAAGTTTACATCACAAATTAGGATTGTAAGAGATGGGTAATAGGGTAAGCCGCTAAAATAAGTTATTAATATTATATATATATATATATATATATATATATATATATATTAAATATAGTTATAGGCTTAGCGGGACGGGATGGGACGGGGCCTTTAGGATATATATACTGAATCTTTACCCGTCCCATGACCCGCGATGGGTATAAAATTTATATCCATACATGCCCCCAACGATATAAAAAGTGATCTCATATCTTTTATTAACTGCGCCTGTAAAAATTGACATCCCTGATCACCTCAAATTCGATGACTATGAGTCTATGACTGTTGTATTTATGCTCAACTGGGCCAACTGGCCGACGAGCTTGAATTCGACGCGCTCAAACAAGCTTTTGTTTTGATAGGTGTCCCACCACCAAAACAGTCCCTAAAACCCTTGTGGCGGACACACAATACGAGTGGGTTGGGCTCGCATGCGTTCCTTATTCGCTCTTATTTCGTCGTCAATTTCGATTCGTCGCCGTTGCGTAATCTCTCCACTCATCACCCCTCGTCGCCGTTACTCACTCTCTTCATACATCACCGGCCGACCCATGGACGCCACCGCCGAACAACCACTCCGCACAACTCTCGCCGACAAAATCGCGCGCATCGAAACCCAAGGCAACTCCGTCCGTCAATTGAAGGCCTCCGGCGCGGCCAAGCCGGAAATTGCCGCCGCCGTCGATGCCCTAAACGCACTCAAACTCGAGAAGGCTTCAATCGAGAGCCAGCTCCAAGCCGCCATTTCCGGCAACGTCGTCAACAGGGATGCTTTCCGTCAGGCCGTCGTCAACACTCTTGAACGCCGTTTGTTCTACATTCCTTCCTTCAAGATATATCGTGGCGTCGCTGGTCTTTACGATTACGGCCCACCGGGTTGCGCCGTCAAGTCTAACGTTCTCGCTTTCTGGCGCCAGGTTAGCTCCTCTTGCATAGCTTTCTGGTAGTCTCTCTCACACACACCTCTGTATTGTATACACATTTACATATGTATGTGTAACTATACACTTTAAATGTTGTCCATTCATAACAATTTGATACATATGCACACTTTATATGTATGTATAATTATACACTTTTATTGAATTTATGCATTGATTGTCAATTTATCACAATTTGATACTGCACATGTAAATTGTGAAATGGGTATTTATAAAAAAAGAATTCAAAGAGAATAATCTGATTTGATACATAATGCAGTGTGATACAAGTATTGATAGCTATAGGTTTAGACAGAGAGGAAGAGGTGAATCTTTTGCTATTGGAATCTCACGGAATAAGATTTTTTCTTTGTGCTGAATTGGTAAAATTTATCAAGTTCATAGCTCTTCGATTTTGATATTTTATTTGTGGTTGTTGGTATAGCATTTTGTTTTGGAGGAGAACATGTTGGAAGTCGATTGCCCCTGTGTCACGCCCGAGATTGTTCTGAAGGCGTCGGGTCATGTTGAAAAATTTACTGACCTTATGGTGAAGGACGAGAAGACCGGGATGTGCTACCGAGCAGATCACTTGCTCAAGGATTTTTGCAAGGAGAAGCTTGAAAAGGACCTAACTATGACTGCAGAGAAAGCTGCAGAATTTAAACATGTTCTTGCGGTTTTGGATGATCTCTCTCCCGAACAACTTGGTGCAAAGATCAAGGAGTATGGTATAACGGCTCCAGACACTAAGAATCCTCTTTCGGATCCTTACCCATTCAATCTGATGTTTCAGACATCAATTGGTCCATCTGGCTTGAGCACTGGGTAAGTATTCTATCTATTAATCTATTGCCATTTTTATAAACTAATTATCTTTTTCAATATTCATGTAATTGATTTTAAACATAACTAATTAGCTTTGAGAATTGTTTTGATTGAAGCTTAACGTGCCTGTTGTTAGCCTGTCAGAATGTCATATTAAGCATTATATTCTTACATTGCGCAGTTTGATATGCATATACAGCTAAAATCTTTCATTTGACATAATGTAGGTATATGCGGCCTGAAACAGCACAAGGCATATTTGTAAATTTTAAGGACTTATATTATTATAATGGGAACAAGCTCCCTTTCGCTGCAGCTCAAATTGGTCAGGCCTTTAGAAATGAGGTCCTTAGCTATCTCTTGCACTTAAATCTTTGTGAATATGTGATTTTGTGTGAATGCACTCGTGTTTGGCCAAGTGCTTGACTTATATGAAGATTGTTATATTGTTTAGCAGTGAGGTATCCTTTCTGACATGCCCTTCATGTGTTGTCAACTTCTTAACATGCATAACAATGTTGAGAATTGATTTTACTGGTTTCAATTACTCCACGAATTAGACCAAATACCTTATATGATCAAAATGTTTGCACGTACACTCACAATGTGCCTCTGGGAGGTAGGAAAGGAGGATGCTTCTAAATCTGACAATTAATTCTTCATATGTTTAGATATCTCCTCGACAAGGACTTCTAAGAGTCCGGGAGTTCACATTGGCGGAGATTGAGCACTTTGTTGATCCTGAAGATAAATCTCATCCAAAATATTCTGAAGTTTCAAACTTGGAATTTCTTATGTTTCCAAGGGAAGAACAAATGTCTGGGCAATCGGCAAAGAGATTTCCTCTTGGTGAAGCGGTTTCCAGGGTTGGTTGATTTGTGTAAATTTATTTTGTTTGTTTCTCTCTCTGTTTCTCTCCCTCCCTTCTATGTGTATTTGTTTGTGTGTGCATATATATCAGATTATTTTTTTGATTCAATGTTATCCAGGGGATCGTCAACAATGAAACACTCGCATACTTCATTGGCAGAGTATATCTCTTTCTAACGCGCCTCGGAATAGACAAAGAAAAATTACGTTTCAGGCAGCACCTTCCAAATGAAATGGCCCACTATGCCGCTGACTGTTGGGATGCTGAAATCGAATGTTCTTATGGTTGGATTGAGTGTGTCGGAATCGCTGATAGATCTGCATATGACTTGCGTGCTCACACGGTTAGAGTTTATTGATTTATTTATTGGATTTAGGACATTGTTATGGATGGTCAGCTGTGTTTTGATTGTCATTGCCCATGTCTTCATGGGTCTACAGCATGCCAAGGTAGATTTTTTAAAATGAGCATCATTATCCTGGCAATCATCAATTTTAAAGGAAAAATTCAGCCCAAGTGTTTTGATATTGTGAAAGAAAATTTTGTACAGTTATTTAGGAGTAACTTGGGAACCTTTTTAGGTCACAGCAAAAATGCATTTGCCTTGACATCAAGATATGAATGTCATTACACTGCACCCTGACAAGTTGGTGTTGTTGTATAACAGGAAAAAAGTGGTGTCTCCCTCGTAGCTCAGGAAAAATTCTCAGAACCCAGAGAGGTGGAGGTAAATCGTCACGCCTTCATATCTTTCATTGTTAGACTGTTAGTTGTAAATATTAGTGCTTGACTAACTGTCAGTGTATAATATCAGAAACTGATTATAGCTACGGTGAAGAAGGAGCTGGGTCTCGCATTCAAGGGGAACCAAAAGATGGTAGTTGAAGCTTTGGAGGTAATAATGGAATAAAGATTGCTGAGACAAAATTCCTTCCCTCTCTCTCCCTCTCTAACCAAAGAATAGAAAAAAGTTGAAAAGAGAAAGTTCTTTTAAGATGGTCAATGACTATATCAATAATGATTTGTGATTAAACTTTTGTATTCCTAGAAAGAATTGGTGAAGAAAGAAAAAGAAAAGAAGAAAAGTAGTAGCGTTTTGTCATTTCTGATTGATGGGAGAAAAAGAAGAATTTAGTGGGTAATAATAACTTCACCATTTGTGAAGAGGTTGAGATACTCTAAAATAAAAGAATTTTATTCACCTTCTTACCTCAGGTCTCTCTACCATGGATTTTCTGTAGTTTCTTACCCCAACAATCAACCGGAAGTGTTCTCTTAGCAATCTGTTCGATCACTCATCCTAAAGCCTAGTAGAGTCTTACCTGGTCTTTTTTTTTTTTTTTTTTAAATAGGCCATGGATGAGAATGAAGCTATGAATATGAAGGCTACTTTGGAATCCAATGGAGAAGCAGAGTTCCATGTCTGCACCCTTGGGAAAGCAGTCACCATCAAGAAAAACATGGTCACAATTTCGAAGGAGAAAAAGAAAGAACACCAGAGAGTTTTCACACCTTCAGTGATTGAGCCTTCTTTTGGCATTGGACGGATAATATATTGTCTTTTTGAGCATTCTTTCTACACGAGGCCAAGTAAAGCTGGAGATGAGCAGCTAAATGTGTTCCGTTTCCCACCTCTTGTGGCGCCTATCAAATGCACCGTCTTCCCATTGGTACAAAATCAACAATATGAGGAAGTTGCCAAACTTATCTCCAAGTCACTGACTGCAACTGGAATATCACATAAGATCGACATTACAGGTTAGCAGCACAAACGGTGTAATATTTAAAATTTTGTGGTGCATCATCTGCTTGTATTTAACATGCATTGCTGCCTCTACGGCCCACGGCTTGTGGAGATTTACAAATGGTTGCGAATATTTTGATTTGCGTGCACTAATTACCCAAATTTAAGAATTTTTTAAAAATTTTTTTTTTACTTTTCTGGGTTTTTTTTTTCTTTCTTTATTTAATTTCTGTGTGATATTTAAGTACTCTTCATTTATATAAGAGTTGTTAATATTAACAAATTACAAGTTACTCCAAACAACTATCATCCTAGCTTTAATTAGAATCCCTTTATCAGATTTTTTACATCTTAGTCCAGTGGCCAAACTATTCACTTATGTTTACCCCATAGGAGGACATAATCTTTCAGGAATTAGTATGACGTAGTTTTCTTCGTTCTTGAAATAAGTCTACAGAGATTTTAAACTAGCATGGATATAGGTGCATGATTCATATACATTCTTGGGTGGAGATAAGTTATTTGCACTCCTCTATGCATGTTAATTGCTTATACGTTTACATGTATGATTTTCAGTTACCTCAATATCCTCTATGCATGTTAATTGTTTATATGTTTACGTGTATGATTTTCAGGTACCTCAATAGGGAAACGATATGCAAGAACAGATGAACTTGGTGTACCGTTTGCCATTACCGTGGATTCAACATCATCCGTAACAATCCGGGAGAGGGACAGTAAGGATCAAATTCGCGTGGGTGTGGAAAAGGTTGCATCAGTTGTGAAGGAGGTGACTGAAGGACAGAGTACATGGGCAGATGTTTTGAACTTATACCCAGCTCATTCATCAGCATCTGCAGATGAATAAATGAGTGACTTTGGGTAATCAAGACACTGAATCAGGGGCTAAAATATGCTTTATTTAAAATAAATATATATACAAAAAAAAAGAAAGTGGACATACAATTTTTGAAATTTCTGTTTTCTGACACCAAGCAGCAGACCAACTCATTTTCGTATGCAAGGACACTTTATTTTTTTCTTATATGGAAGTTATTGTTTTTCAATGTGCCGGTTAGAAATTCATCAGAGTCAGAATTTAGCAGCTTGATGTCCTCCTGTCAATTTTTTTTTTTTTTTAACTTCTTATATTCGTTGCTAGTTTTAGTTGGTTACTGTCTCACTAGGTGAGAAACAATACTCGCTCAAAAAGTACCGTTGTGTGAAATTAGAAATTTTCTCTACGGCTAGCCAGTTTTTATTTATTTATTTTTAAATCTTTTTTCAGAAGGAAGATTTTACATAGAAAATTGATTAAGCAGTCCCTTAGGCTATGTAATATTGGCTGTTATTTGTCCGAGTATGAATAAGATTGCGAGTCTAGAGCGTGTATGAATTAGATTGTGAGTTTAGAGCGTGTAACAGTATGAATACTTTTTAGTTGTAGAATTTTTGGCTTTTTATTATTATTGTTTTTTCAACACCAAGAAGCAAACTAGATTAAGTCGAAGAAAAGTTACAGTCACACACTGAGAAGAACATCTAGCCAAGGAGCAAAATCATCACACTCAGCTAACAGAACCTTCTTGCTCAACATATGAGCTACAAATTTTTATCCACGAAGAAACTAAGCAGGGAAGAACCTACACACAATTTTAAGAGAGATGAAACATCATTGAAAACAGCAACGCTTCAATAGATGCCTTCCACCGTTCCACGACAACATCTTTGTAACCACAGTTTCTGAGAAGGAGCAAAGACTCGAAAAGAATAAGGGTATTCTGCAAGAGGAGTGCAACTAACATTCTCCACGAAAATTGAAGCAAGTTTGGTTGGATGCCCAGATGGTCTTGTTGCAAGTAGAGGTTAAGAAATATATAAAAATGGAAAATGATATTTATGCCGACAAATTTCACCGATTAGCTAGGCAGAATCCTAGGTGGCAGTCCAGCTCGCAAAAAATTTTGCTTGCGTTCAATTCATCTTCCTGTCTCTCCACTCTCTATCTAACCTCTCAGGCCAGGCAACGTCGCATGGGTCTTATTTCCCCCCTTCTCTCCTCTTTTTCTCTCTCTCCAGCTTCATCTGTGTATGCAGGTGCAAGCAACGGTGGCCGTCATTGGGTGGTGTTGGTGAGAAAAACGGTGGCTAGAATGCCAGATTTGAGCTCAGGGCGTCAAAGATCAATCGATGGTGGTGTCGGCAACGGAACTCCGACCAATTGATTGTGGTGTCGGCGCCAGAGGCTTGTTCGGTGACGGAATCCTATCCTTTGAGTGAAAATCGGATCTCTCTCTTCCGATTTTCACCCAAAAGATCTCTCTTCCAAAGTGTTAATTTCGCGGTGGTTGGAGCACGCGTCGACGCCAACGAGAAGTAAGGACTGATCGGCGGTAATCAGCGAAGAGATCGGTTGTTGTTGCCGGTGTGTTGAATAACGGAGAAACACTAAATTCGCTTTCACCGTTTCATTGAAAACTAGCCACGGATATGGAATTTTAAATTCTTGTGCATCTACAGAATTCTGGGAGGAAAAAGAAAAGAAAATTGCAAATCCATAAATAAAATATAACTCTTAAGATCTCAATTTCATGCTGTGTCAAAAAGTAAGAAATTTATACAAAAATTATTCATGAAAAACTGCAGCAATAAAAGATGGAACTTACCGATTCTCGACTCCAAGCAGTCCTTCGTCGTGGTAGGTTGTTGCAGCTGGGGTCAAGCTTGTCGCCGTGTGTTTTGGTCGCCGTAGTCGTTGTTTTCGTTGTTGGTTGGAGCTTTGCCCGTTTGTTTTCGCCGGCGTAGGATGATGTCAACGTCCTAAAGTCAAACTTAGGATTAATTTTTTTTTGCCACCTGGACGCCACATGGATCCTGCCTAGTTAATCCGTTAGATGTTTATGCCTAAGTATGACGACTCTATAAAAGTTAGTCTATTTATGAAATATATTTATATATCGACAATACTCAAGATCCTCTTTAATAAGGATGCACACCATCCTGTCTATTAATTTAGACTAATAATATATGCATACGTTATATTTTAATTACTAAATTAGAGATGATGATTAATTCATTATTTCTAATGGTGAGTGAGGATGTAGGTGAGTAGGTTATTCTCATCAACCACATGAAATCGTAGGCATACGTTACAAAAATAAATGTCTACCTTTTCATTTTTAGTTGTTTCAAAATAAATATTCCAATTGAAAGGTTAAAGTACTGCACAATTTTTTATTTTACTTTTGTAACATTTTCAATTTCATGTGGAACCTAATTCATTCACTATTAATATAGTAAAAAAATACTAAAAAAAGTTATCATCTTAAAAAGATAAATTACCAAAAAGAGACATTTATTTTATAGCTCCAAACAAGCCCTTGTTATTTATTTTAGAGCATAAAAGAATCATTCTAGAGACAACACTTGTTTTATAGCTCCAAACAGGCCCTTGTTGTATTGTCTAAATTCTTTTTCAAGTGCTACAAAAATATTTTTTTAAGAGCATAAAAGAATCCTTTCTAGAGATAACGCTTGTTTTATAGCTCCAAACATAAGTGCCACTAAATGACAGATAAATTTGTCTATATATAGAATCCACCACTGAAATTCTCAAACCTAGCGGTGGAGGCCTCATACGGCGTCGTGTGGCAAACGGTTCGTAGATTTATTCGCCTCTGTACATTTGGATTTCGTTCCTTTCGAGCTCTGAGATTCTCTCTCTCTCTTTCCTTTGGCTCTTCACTTTGAAAGAGCAGACCCTAATCAAGCTATCTGAGCAAGCAAAAGGTAGAAGACGATGCTGAGAGTTGCGGGTAGGAGGTTAACCTCTCTCTCATGGAGGTCCACCCAGACATCATCGGCCTTCGTCAACAGAAATCCGATCAACGGCTCTGATTCGCCATCATCCGATTCCAGCTGGTCCGCCTCCCAGCTCCCCTACACATTTTCTGTCTCTTCCCAATTTCTGGATCAAATCAGAGGTCAGCCCTCTCACCTTTGTTGCTCTCTCTCGCCTTTCAGATCTAGGGCTCATATGTTTTTGCCTCCTACGCATCTGTTCATGGCTTTAGGTTTTCTTTTCTGATCCATTTGATTTCTAGCAAGATATATAGGAACACATATAAAAATTAGATTCCTTACCTGTTGGTTTATTTTTTTTTTCATTGTATGGTGCCTGAAACCTTCATGATTGATACTAGTTACTAGTATTTGGTTTTGTTGAATTGAATTTCTCACTTTTTGGATTTGAAAAAAAAAAAAAAAAAACTATACCAGGCCCGACTTTGAATTAAAATATGTTGTCACCTATAGTTCCATATCCTTCCCCTCTTGGTTTCCACTTTCCATTTTCGAAAAGGAGTTTTAGGTCTCTGTATTGTTCGTAGTTTAAGTGAGGGAAACGAAAGAGGAAAGGGTTCCATTTTTTTCCCCCTACTTAAACAAAGATAAATAGACAAAATTTTTGGTTGGGAATCAAAAAGAGATATGGCAAAATAAGGTATAATTTTCTCCCTCTACGTTTCATGGTAGCTAATAAAGGGAGGTGTACCCCCCTCCCCCCTCCCCCAGAAAAACACACAGACACACACACTGTGATTTACATGTTATAGAAGTTATGAATTATAATATTTATTTATTTATTTGGGTTCTATTATAGTTTTACTTTTTATTTTCTAATTTTTTGTTTTATATTTATTGTATTGTTGGAACATGGAATTGTTACCCAAATCTATGATACGACAGAGTGTGAGCAGTGACTCAGACCTAGGGGGTGAATAGGTCTTATGGATATTAATTTGCCACCAACAATCTTTTTGAATTACTGTAAAGCTTGTTTAAATTTAAATTTGTTGTATATGATGATTGAGATTTGAATTTTTTTCCTAACCCCCAGAAGGAATTGTTTGCACCCAAGATGGTGATTTGAATTTTTGTTTATATCTGTTAGGTTTAGAGCATAATCATGCATCTATAAAAAGTAAAGCAGTGCAAAAACACAATGTTTATACATGAAAAACCCTAAATAGTGAAAAATCACGGTTCCTAGCCTAGTTAGGAACAATTTCCTATATGAGAAAGAAGTTACAACTAGGTCAATAGTTCCCACACGCTATAACCCTTAGTTACATCTTGGCACAGGCTGATGTCAAACTTTTCAGTCAAGTCTCCATACCATTCATCCACTCATTACATACTTTTGCTTCTCGTGAATTTGCTTCTAAAATGATTTGTCTGCTCTTTTGTCCAGAAATCTGGTCAGTTGATTTGTATTGTCTTGATAAGCTTGATTAATTCCTCTTTTGATGAACACTCAATCCCATATAGTGGTGTCTAAGAAAACATAGATTGAGTAATTGGGATTTCTACTATCTCAAGGATTCTCAGTTGGTGATTAGAGGCTTCAAATCAAATCTTTTGACTGACTATAATCCCACATATATAGCTAAAACTGGTAGTTCACACATTTTGGTAAGTTGAATCATTGTGCAGATATGTTTTGTGAGAGTTTTTGAAAATATAGGTATGAATTGTTTGATCAATTGAGATTTTGATATGCACTGGACAAGCTTCAATTAATCAACTTATCGATTTACTGGAAACTATTAAAAACAAAACTTTGAGCCTCTACCGGGTCAATCTAGGCCAATAAGGTCTTCATAAGGTCAATTTACATGTGTCCTAGATATGTGATTGAGATTATGAATTTCTTGCCGTGTTCTTCGCAGTTCTCGTCTTCAATGGTTGTACTTATATGACTCAAGCGTTTTGACACATTACAATTCAAAATTTGAGTAGGATATTGCCAACACTTGACTTACATACCCTTTTTTTTTTTGGATAAGTCACACTGGACTTGCATACTTAACATGCATATGTATTATAACTAACCAAAATGCACTATGCACGTGATTAAATATAGTATTATATATGTAACTAAAATTGAAGTTTTAATGTTGGGTTTCATTTAAAAATCCATGTATTTCTTACCAACACTCCTCCGGTTTGGGCAAAAGCAGCAAACACCAGAAGTAAGGGCTTTGGTCAATAAAAAATTAAAAAGAAATTTAAACAAAAAAATAAAAATAGATAATAGTGGAAGGGTCAATAAATAGTGTTAATACCTTAACAATCACAATTTAAAAATCACTCTTTCATGTAAAAACAAAATGTAAATATTCAATATTGCAACAAAACTAAAAGCTATTATAGTATGTTATGACTATTGTTATAGATGTTTAGATTTATTCAAAATGTTACATGAATCCTTGTACAACAAATTTTTTAGCCTTCCTACATCCCTCTACAACTTCACTATATTCAATATGGGTCTTCAATTTGTACATGCATTGACTCCTTGGAAAAAAAAGGGTATGTGCTCTTAATCAATGACATATATTGTCATGGATATTTAGAGCGAGAGAGACGGATATAGAGAGAGGACGGAGGATTTGAAATTGTGTTTGGTAAAATGGTAGTGGCCAACTATTATATAGAACGAAAAGTCTTTGGTGTCTGTTTAGACTAATGACATTACGATTCAATCGTCACTAAATGGATCTAAATCTTATTACATTTCCTTTTGAAAATCCTTATGACGATTCTTCTTGAAATGCCAGTTTATGTAACACCCGTAATTTGTCCATATATGATTTTTTCTCCGTTCTCAGTTACAATCACAGACAAGCAATTGAACATAAACAATACAACCATAAAGTTTTTCTGTTGGAAAAAGTGAACAAAAATCCACATCGTTCGTAATTTACTCTAATAGCTTGAAACATTTACAATTGTAATTTATTTAATTGGAACTGATTCAAACCAGGTGACCCAACAATGGGCAACAAGTACATAACCCAGATAAATATACTAAAAACTGTCACTTATTAAAATAAAAAAAAAAATATACTAAAAAGTGCAATACAAAAACTAACACATAAAACATAAAAATAAATAACATAAAAGAAGTGTTATAATATAATATAAATCAGAACGTAAACGTCAATGATAGCCAAACATCGTCTCAAAGTATCACAAGAAAATAAACGTCAATGGGTCACCTGGGTTCCTTACTTCAGTTGTCAAAGTATTGTCTCAAATAATAAAGTTTTTACTCTTTCCTCATTTGGTAACTATCAGGAGTATCTTATGTAAATTTATGTTTTTCCATGAATCTAAGAGTTTAATTCAGGGGAAATTAGCTGAAGTAAACTATCACATAATTCAGAACATAAATGTCAGATGTAAATTCTCAATCAATACAAATTCATGTGATACAGAAAGAGAAATGGAAGAGAAGAAAGGAAAGATAAAATTGAAAATATATTGAATAAAAATGAGAGAAACAAAATGGAATAAATTATATAAGTAAATGCTTAAGTTCAAATAAAGTACTGAGAGCAACGAAATCTAACCCTGAGAAATAAAAAGTAAAAAAATGCTAGTCAGAGAGAAAAACTTAAATCAGATTGGTTGATTAGTGCTGCAAGTTTAGATCTCGTCATCAAAGAAGGAAGATACACACACACACACACATGTATGTAATCTATATCTAGAGAGAAAAAAATGCCTGAGAGCATCAAGAAAGATGATGATGAAGCGATGAACGGTATTTCAAGAATTGAAATTTTAATTAGTAGGGGGAGAAGAAGGATAGTTTTAAGAGAATGTAGGAATTGCTGTATAGATATTACCTTTGGAAATAACTGTTGGATTTCAACAACCCTAAAATGATAACTGTTGGATATTGAGTTAACTAACTTTTTTTTTATAATTTTTATTTTGATAAGTGAAGAAATATAAAAGACGCTCAAAAGGGGAGCGCTCCCAAAGGATTTGTTTTTTTATAAAAAATTGAAAATATTATTTGATAAAAAATAATTAAAGCGTATATAAAATTCTGAAATTCTTACACTTTTAATGGTAGTATAGATAGATGGATGTATTAGTATAGGGATGGATAAATATCGTAGTATTAATTGTATAATGTATTACTTCCTCCGTCTTATTTTAATTGTTCCTTTTGGGGATTCTATTTTTTTAGAGGGACATGCATTTAATGCATTGTTACTTTTTGAAATGAGTAATGCTACATGTTCCGAAAATCGACAACCGACTGTGAGAGAAGTGAGGTGTGAGCCCTAGTGCTCCACCAGCTTACACTTCACTTATCTCACACTAGGTTGTCGACTTTCGGCAAAAAAATAATTACTCTTTTTGAAATTTCCAAACTATGCTTTAAAGTTTAACTTATATTTTCAGTTTGAGAAAACTTTCAAAAATGAAGGATTCTTTTGAAAGTTCTAATCTTTTACTTCGATTTTTCAAATGGGACATGAATTTTGGGACATATAAGATGGAAGAGGGTCATTATTTTGGGACAGAAGGAGTAATAATTAAATATGTTAGACTAATTAATTAGTAATTACTGAGTTCCTAATTACTTTTGAGTATATGTCTCCCCCACCCAAAAATAAATGTCCATTTTTCTCATTTGGTATGTTCCAAAATTAGTGTCCCTTTTGGAAGTCAATGTACAAGTATTTTAACTTTCCTAATTATTCTTAGGTTTTGAATTTTTCTCAAAAATAACAATATATGTTAGTTTTGGAAGAGACCATGCATCAAATGCATGTTCCTTTTAAAAGTTGGAATCCCGAAAAGGGACAGTTAACTTGGGACAAAAGTATTACCTATTTATTTTGACGACTTGAAATCTTGATGCATTGCCATTGCTCATATTAAATCATCTTTGATTGTTGAAAAAGAAATCGACTAAAATCATCTAAAATGAAACTTATGGGATTCTAAGCGCGCTAGGTATATAACAATCCAGGTCAGCGACAGAAGCTATAGTTACATAACCTTTTCTGCGTTTTTTTTTTTTTTTGGGTTTTATTCTCGTAGTTTCCATGCATTTTTCATCGATTGACTTTTCACTTTCAGTATTTTATAAAAATATCTTGCATCCGGGTCTTGTCATTGTGCTCAATGCAACTCTAGTGCTTGTTTATCTGAATTGATCAACTTTTCACTATTAATATTTTAAAAAAATCTTCTGCATCCGGATTTTGTCTGATAATAAAAAGAATGTAAAAAGGGAATTCCTGTGGCCAACCTTATTCAGATGGGACTAAGGTAAGGATGATAATAATGATGACCAGGGGACATTTCAGTTGTTTTACATATTCGTCTTGAACTTGGTCCAAATTAAGCTTTAAGGATTTGTAGGTTGTACACAAACTTTAATTTTAATTATCTTTGCCGAATAGTTCATCAAAATCTATAAGTAGGAAAATAGTCTCTTTCAGGGATAATGAGTGATGTGAAGGCCCAGATTAATAAGTGCCTTCTAATTTCATGCTAGATATGCTTTAACGGACCTGTATCCGTGGAGAATCTGAGGGTTCAACTGGATTGAAGTTGTTGAGGTGTTGGGTCTTTAATGTTCGATTGTTTTTTATGAGGCTTTGAATAATGCATAGAGACTAGATTTAAGGTGGATGTATATATGGTGTATTAAGGCCTTCCTTAAGGTGGCCTTTTTGCTGGGTTTGTTTCCTTGGATAAGGTGGCATTTTTGCTGCGTCTGCTGCCTTGGTTGCTATTCTCATGCTAAATGATCTGAAAAGAAGAGGGGATCGGGGTTGCTTCATGGTGTTCCATGTGTAAAGAAGAAAAAGGAGACAATTAGCCAACTTCTTTTACGTTGCTGTGTCGTGGTGCAATTGTAAGGCCATTCTCCTTCTTGTGATTGAGTGAACCGTGCAAGGGATAGTGACATGCATGTTGGGGGAGTTGGAGAGGGGATTATCAGCAGGAGACGGTCAGGATGGTGTTTGATACTGGCCCCTTTGTCATATGTGGTAGAACTCTTCGTCATACACTTCAACTTGGTGCTGCTTGGATTCTTAGACTTTATTCAATTATGGTTTCAATGCAGAGCATTTCAAAGCTGCATGTTATGCCTGAATTTCACATGTCTAATAGGTGGAGTCTATTGACAAATTTACCTACAGAATGGAGAGCGATTGGGTCAGTGGACACCAGTGACCTCCATGGATTTGGTGAGGAACTACACCAGTATCCATGGAGGTCCTGAGCTGAATCCATGGAGCCGAGACAAAAAGATAAAGGGATACAGAAGTTTATTAATGATACGGAGGTGGACGAGGTAGAGTGATTAGAGGATAGCATATGAAAAAGGATGAGGAAGAGAGATAGAAGGAAGAGACGAAATGGCGTGGGAGAGTGAAAAAGCTGCCGGAATCCTTGGAGGTTTTTGAATTATAGGCTGTAGAGGAAAAGAGGTTTGGAGAATAAAAGTACTTCTATGCCCCTGATATTTCAAACAAATATAAAAAAAGGTGTCACTTTTGTCCATTAGTCTTCTATGAAAATAGCTAGGTTATTCTTGAGTGTGAGACTTGCAAGTGATACTTGGGTACAATTGTCTATTGATAAATTATTGGAACTCTTTTTTTTTTTTTTTTGTTGAAAAGCTGTTAGTAAGATATGAATGATTAATTATTGATCCTCCTTTGGCAGTTTCAGTTTCTTAATTTGATAAGACAGCATTACTTGAATCACCTATGAGGACTTTTGATTTCACTGGTGCACTTGTCTTTGAGGCTTTGTTAGAAATGCTATGATGGTGCGGTATTAGGCTGTTGATTAGGTCATTTGGAGAGAGAGACAGTAGAAGCTATGAAAATTGATTTGGATTCGAGTCCTGTGATTGTGAGAATGTCAATGCATTGAAGTCTCCCGCGAGTATAGCATGCCTATTAGTTATTCAATTTCTTACTAAACCTCCTATTTTTTCTTGTGCAGTTGTCATATCCAGGGTATCAACTGGGCCTTGGCACTTCAGCAGTTCCATTGTCTTTTTTTTTTTTTTGGCTATATTGCTTTGGATAGAATTTTTTTCTTTCCGTACATTGATAATTGAGGTTTTTTTCGTGAGCGTGTGAAAGGTGGTCAATTATATCAATTTGTTGGCAATTTTTTGTTGGGGAATTTTCTTTTTGCTTGTCTATGTAGCTTGTCCTTGATCAATTTTCTCTTTGGCTGTCCTCCATTGATTTCGTTGGTTCTCTCTTTTCTGAAGAGATTTTTTTGTGGATGCATTTTTTTTTTTTTTGTTTCTCAGGTAAGTTTGGTTAAAAAAAAATAATTCCTGCACAAACCCTTTATTTTTGCTTCTTTAGCTGAGGAAGTTTAGCATAACTGTTGTGGTGCCTATAGTGAATATGTGCTCCCTTCCCCTTTTAGAATGTCAGTTGTCTTACCATGATGGAAACATTACAGTTCTATTTTTAATTACTAATGCCAAAAAAATAAAAAAACAAGGACCAAGAAGAAGAAAGAAGCAGAAATGCAGTTTTCTCCCCATGAATGCTGATGTATTTGATGTCTACCGCATGTTATGTTGTTTATTAATGGTTAATTGTTGCAGGGTTTTCTTCTGATTCCCTCGCTGCAGCACACGACATAGGTCTAGTCCCAGACCTCCCGCCTACTGTGGCAGCTGTCAAGAATCCCACCCCAAAAATTGTGTATGACGAACACAACCATGAGCGTTATCCACCTGGTGACCCTAGCAAGCGCGCATTTGCATACTTCGTCTTGACTGGCGGCAGGTTTGTGTATGCCTCCTTGATCCGTCTCCTGATACTCAAGTTTGTCCTGAGTATGTCTGCCAGTAAAGATGTTCTTGCCCTTGCCTCCCTCGAGGTAGACCTCTCCAGCATTGAACCAGGGAGCACTGTCACAGTTAAGTGGCGTGGTAAGCCTGTTTTTATCAGGCGTCGAACTGAGGATGATATCAAGTTGGCTAACAGTGTTGATCTTGGCTCCCTACGGGACCCACAAGAGGACTCCGCCAGAGTTAAAGACCCGGAGTGGCTCATTGTTGTTGGCGTCTGTACTCATTTGGGTTGCATCCCCTTGCCAAATGCTGGTGATTTTGGCGGTTGGTTTTGCCCATGCCATGGTTCCCACTACGACATATCTGGTAGGATCCGCAAGGGGCCTGCACCTTACAATCTGGAGGTACCTACTTACAGCTTTTTGGAGGATAACAAGCTGATGATTGGGTGAGAATTCAGGAGGGAGTTTCAAGGTGCAGTGGTGCAAGTGTAGGATCTGATATTTCGTTATTTTCCAAACCTGCACTTCGCATTTTGATCCTGTCTTCTTATGTTTTATATTTAGAATTTATTTCTTCATCGAGTTCTGGACAGAGGGTTATGGGGTTCTGAATAATTCATATGGCTCTTGTTGAGCATCTTGTAGTCTTAATGGTACTTGGAAAAGACATTTCTGAATAACTAGACTCAAAACACATTTTACTATTATTGGATTGTAAGTACAAGCTTATTGAATTGTATTGAAGTGCGTCGTGTCCATGATAGTTGGCACGCTGGATTTTTTTGAAGAATTGCTGTGCCTCGTGTTTGCACCAATATTTAAAGTTTGTTTTGTAAAAGAACACTGGTGGCATTGTTTATGGATCCTAACAGATCTATAATTGCCTTAGTTTTTGCTAGGGTTGCATTACTCTATTTGGTGTAGATCCTGGCGGAAGTAGTCAAAAGTTGAGATGTAATGTTGGATCACGTATATTATAAGAAAAGTTAAATTTCTTTCTTGGTTTGGGTTTGTATTATCCCCTACCGTGGTATTGTGGATCAATAACATGTTTCTCTGAAAACATGAATGTTTTTGGGATAACATGAATTTCTAGAAAAATTGGACTGAAACCGATTTCTAGTCACCGATGAATAGGTGCTGCATTCTAAACGCTAATGTGGTTCAATCAGATGCATTTTCACACAACGTGTGATTAAGAAGAATAAATGGTGGCGTGTTCAGTAATGGTAAACATCCTGGAGGCAGATGGTAGAACAATGCCTGCTTTGATACATGAATGTGATATCTAACTATCAAATCTAAGCTAGCAGTAGTATAGCACAAAAGTTATCAACAGTCCTGGATTGGAACTAATGGTAGTTTGCCTCCATATATATCTGGAAGTTGGCTCTCATCAATGTCGCCAAGCAACGTCGGTCTCAGTTTTTTGTTCTCAACAAAATTTATCTGCAAAAAAGGTGGTAAACATGATATTAGAATTTCTTCAATGCTCCACGTCGGTCTCAATTTCTTCTTCTCAACAAAAATTATAAGAATTTGATGGTAGTCTCTGTCTCGAAAGAGAAAATTACCTTCTTTCTGGTTTTGTTGTCGATGAAAGGGTAAACAGCTTTCCATGCAGTCATAAACATGTAAGGCGCGTGGACTATAAATATCTTGCCTAGCCTCTCTGGGTAACAATCCTGCCAATGTTAAAAATGGTGCGGGTCAAATTTGCACCCAATAATTCAAAACATATTTTCTTGATACTTAAATTCAATTTGCAGATACAGAAGAAAATTTTCACTAGCAGAAGGGTGCGTTGAGTTATGGTGAGAAGTGAAACCTGCAAGATGGATAGAGCTGCAAGATATCCGCGAATGTCACTATTAGAATATCCCCATCCTTCAAGCTCTACAACACCGATAAACTTTTCCTGTCCTCTCGGCATTCTGAAATATAAAGATGAAGTATAACAATCTCAATTTGCTGAAATATTCCCACATTAGAGAAATGAAAAATGAAAAATGAATAATCATGCATCTATTTAATTGCTTATCCCAATCAAGACTGCAATGATGTGCTCTTCATTCAACAACATTAACGTCCCATTTTTTAGATATCTGTTCAAATGAGCCAGAGAAATCAAATGAACGGTATGTACTCAAACAGATGATATACCTTGCACAAATTTTGTCAAGAGCATAAACCGCAAAACCTGTACATGAAAAAAAAAAAAAAAAAACCAAAAGAGAGAACAATTTAGCTTAGCAAACGAAAGATTGATCAACGTGGCTTTTGTTGAGATTTGAAATAGGATTAAGTTGCTAATGTGGTTTCAAACACTATATATATATGGATTAAATGCAATAACGTACGCTTAATTTCCTCTAGGTTCCCTTTGGTAGGTTTATGTTTGGAACCAAAGGCAACTACTATGGGTCGTTCCATCTTATCCACTCCTTGCATAAAAATCTTTTTATCTGCAAGTTGATTTGAAATCTGTGACGCAGAAATGGAGCCGTTAGGAACAAATGCTCGCCTCCAGCTTAGGTACTTTAGAAGAAGGCTGGAAGCCTTTTCAACATCTAGATCACGAGCTCGCAGAAATCTCCTGATCATCAAATCATCTACTTCCTGCCAGTGATGGACCCAAAAAATTTTGTGAGGGGGCGGCCTTTTAATTTGTTGGGACAAACTTATATAGTGTGGTCTTCTTCATAAATTCTCAAAAATTTGAAGTATAAAATGAAAAAAAAAAAAATCCAATAGGGGTGAGTTGTAATTTTAGTGAGAATATTTTCATAAATTCTTAAAAAATTAAAGTATTAAAATAAAATAAAATAAATTCTTAACTTTAGATTGGAATCGGAAGAAGTTTAGTTACAAATTTGTACTAAATTTTTTTCAATTCCAAATTCAATTCGCCAATTCAATGCTGCCAAACATAACATAAACAAATTTGAAACTATGCTCTTCTACATTTGAAGTAGAACAGTTAGGCAAGTTATTTTCCCACCGTCAATATATCCTATGAAAGAATATAAGTTTACAAACTAATATTTTCACAAAAAATGCATCTACTTAATTCTTTCATATTCAAATTTGTTTGTTAATTTGTGTCATGATTCATGAAGATATTGATTGTTACCTATAGTTTGTAAAGCACAATTAGCCAAAATTAAAGAGTAACTAGTAATCAAACAATCTAGTCCAATGGGATAACCTTCTTCCTCTGTGTTCGAGTTTGGGTGTCTGTACGCGCAAATAAGTGTTTTTTTTGTCAAGATTCAAAAAAAAAAAAAAAATCAAAACAGAGAGATAGAGATTGACCTTTGCAGAGGGATTTTGAGTTTGGATAAAGGCTCTCATGATTCCGATTTTGGTGAGCTCAATCTCATTGCTTTCCAACATTTCTTGTTCCCCACTTGCACTCTCAACCCCTGTAGACTCCATCACTGTACCCATTTGCTCCACAGCCGAACCCATTGATAGATTGATATTTTCTCCAATTTAGAGAGAGAGAGAGAGAACAGAGTCTAGAGAGAGAGAGAGAGAGACAATGACTCTGATGAGAATGGAAGCTATAAATAAATGCTGTGCCGACAAGTGAAGAAATAATGAATAGCCCTACTTGTCCCCTCACATTTAGTAAGTTTTTCGTATTTCCAAATAAGGGACACCATTAATGAACCTCCACTTCTTTCTTAACCTCATTTCCTTCTCTTTTCGTTGCAAAAGCATGATACACGTGCCACATTTCTGTAAACGTGTTCTAATCAGCGCGTTGACATCACCCAACAACCTTCATTATAGGGTATTTAAATACTACAACACGGAGTAGTATTTAAAGCCTAATGGTACAACTTTGGCTGGTTTGGTACAGAGTAATAGGAACAGCCATACTTGGTCCCAAAATTCTTGACCTGTTTCGAGAATTAATTTTTGAGTAGTGATATTTATATTGAATATTTGCAATGAATTATTTAATTAAATAATTTTTAATTAATTATTTTTATTAAATATAATTAGATGGAGGGCTTTATTTCTTATTTATTGCATAACAAATTAAAATAGTAAATTTAACAATCCACTAACTATTCGGTGCAATAATTATTTCTCTTAATTTTTTTTTTATTGTATTATTAAGAGTAAATTTTTAAAAGGCAAAATAGCAATTTGAGAATGTTATAAAAAATATTTTGTCCATTTTTGAAATGAGACATGTATTTTGAGATATTTCAAAATAAAAGGATAGACAAATATTTTGGAATGGAAAGATAACTATTTAATTATGGGATAAAATAATTTTTTGAGATATGTAAAAAAATCAAATAAAATATTTAATAAAATTAAATTAAAAATAAAAGAGAGATCATAGTTCTTCTCATGTGAGAAAAAATATCAGTCATAGTAAAATATTATCATTCATGTTAAGAGTAAATTGTTGTAATAATTTACTCTTTGGTGTAATAATCATTCAGGGTAATACTATTTGGTGTAATAATCATTTTTCTTAATTTTTTTTGTTGTATTATTAAGAGTAAATTGTTAAAAGGCAAAATAGCAATTTGAGAATGTTATAAAAAATATTTCATCCATTTTTGAAATGAGACATATATTTTTAAGATATTTCAAAATAAAAAGACAGACAAATATTTTCGGATGGAAAGATAACTATTTAATTATGGAATAAAATAATTTTTTTGATATATATAAAAAAAGTCAAATAAATTATTTAATACAATTAAATAAAAAATAAAAGTGAGATCATAGTTCTCTCATGAGAGAAAAAATATTAGTCATAGTAAAATACTGTCATCCATGTTACTTTTCAGTAGTGTAAAGCGTAAAAATGACTTTGTGTTACTCACTAAGAGTTGATTGGTGTTTAGAAAGATATTTCTATCCCTCTCCTCTCTCTCATTATTACATTGGCAAAATCAATTGACTGATTGTGTGGCCAAATCAATTTACTAATAATTTGAAATTTGAGAAAAAGGTGTAGAAGATCAAACTTGGGGTTTTTACTACCTCTGTTGTCGGTTTGTATTATTTTTTTGACAGGTAACTTGCTCCCTCTGTTATTACATCAAATAGTGGTAGAGATCACACAAGCCCAAGCAAAGACTAACAAGAACAAACACAAAATATGACAAAAAAAACAGAATAGTGCTTTATGATGCTTCTGCAACTACTCATGAAACAGATAGCAATCATAGCACTAACCAAAGGTGGGGTAATTTCTAATAATTATTTTGAGACATGAGTGAAAAATCGATTTTTCCAGGGAAAATGATTCACAACAATATATCTAATTGGGATAGGTGTGTGCATCTTAACTACTAAAAAGAGTCTTTCAAGAAAGAAAGAAAAAAATCCAACACCCAGAAAACTAGTTTTGCAAAAAATCTAAGCAGAAAAAAATGGTAAATCAAGATGCCAAATTTTCCACCATAAAAGAATCAGAAGATCTATTTCATTTTTCATTCTAATGGAAGTACCTACCGCATAATTGTTTTTAGACCGTGCAAATTTTCAAATCTGCCCTAATAACCTGATATATATGTATATATACATACTTTTTTTTTGGGTACTTAGATGCTGATGCAGGCTTGAACTCTTAAATTTCCTTTGAGGAGTAGGGATTTAATACTGGTGCCGGTTGTTTACATACACACTTTTTCTTTCTCTCCTCTCTCCTCTCTCCTCTCTCCTCCATATATGCATATCAAAAAATTTGACCTAACGAGTTGTGTATATCTTTGGTGGCCGCCTAGCTGGTGGTAGGTGAAGAGCATGGTTTGCAGTGTCGGTTATGGTTGTAATATCGGTCATAGTGTAACGAATTCGGACAAAGTTAGTATAAACTAGCCAATACAAATTGCATATGGACTTGAAAAAGAGTCGTGTACCTAACCATGGTGGAGAGAGAAGAAGAGGGTTTGGAAGACATGACATTTATTATTGGCATATTTTACTTTTAAAAATATAGGATAAAGTGAGAAAAACTCTATTGAAATTATGTTTCAATTTGTAGATAATTCTCCTGAACTATATTATGTGCATAATACACCCTAAATTATCACATTTTGTTGCAAAATACCTCAATACCTATACTTTATTTCATTAAATGACCATTATGCCATTTCTTATTGAATTACACTTAATATATTTTTCTTATTGTAATAAATTATGAAAAAATTCAAATTAATTTGAAGACATATTCTTCATTAAATTTGCATAAATTAATTTACCTTTAATTTTTAAAATTAATTGTTTAAATAAAAATATTCAGTAGAAATTGTTAAAAAAATTTAATTAATGATTTGATTTTTCATGAATGTATTACACGAAAAAGAAGGTATTTTTTATTTAAGTAATTTGTTATTATTTTTATCAATATATTATATGAAAAAAAGAAGATATTTTTCTACGGTAAAAAAGTTTAAACTGGTTATAATAATTTTTATTATAAATAATAAAATTTTAATAATGAGTTAATTATTTTAGAAAATGGTAGTTACAAATCTATTTATCTTTTTTTTTTTTCATTTTTATAATAAATTGATAGTTATAATAAAATTAAGATAACTAGTATATTTAATATTTAGATAAGAGAAAAGATAATAAAAATAATTTAATAAGAAATAAAAATTTTAATGAGAAAGGGCAAAATAGTCTTGTGTGACGTGTTTGTCTTTAATTACAACAAATCAATAGTTCAGGGAAATTTTTTTAGTTTAGCAGTATTTGCAAAATGACAATATTTCAAGGGAGTTTTTTGCACTTTACCCTAAAATTTATGATATTTTGGATTAAAAATGTATTACAAAAATGACCGTATAAATATGACATTTCGCGCATTTTTAATCTTGAAAGAGATGAAAAAATGAGTTGAAATACGAGTAATAATAATTTTCGAAAAGTATTTCTACATTAGATTTGTCTAACTACTAAAAAGATTAATGATTTATGTCTAAGATATAAAATTATGAGAGAGGAGAGCCAACAACTAAAATGAGTCATGTCATGTTATAAAATTATGGGAGAGCCAACAACCATATGTTATGTTATATAAAATTATTGGAGAGCCAACAACTAAAATGAGTCATGTCATGTTATAAAATTATGGGAGAGCCAACAACCATATGTTATGTTATATAAAATTATTGGAGAGCCAACAACTAAAATGAGTCATGTCATGTTATAAAATTATGGGAGAGCCAACAACTAATATGAAAAAGAAAGTGATTATTTTTTTTTTTTTTAGGGATTTGAATATGCGCAAACCCGCTTGAGAAGCTTGGCGTTCTACCAATAGATAATGCCCAAATGATATCCAGATTTGTAAGAGTGAAACAATTAAGGCAAGCAACTATTTAGCTAATTAATGCCCTTAATTTTTTAAATTTGACAAATAGGCTAACTGAAGGGCCTAAATATCATGACTCAAATGAAAATTGAAGTGTCAAAAAACTAGTTTGAATTTATTGCAGGGAGGTCAATGATACGAGAAAGACTTCTATGCAACTTTAATACTTCGTTATCTGTACTACAAACCAATTCTATCGTGTCACAACTAAAAATGCTTTATTTTAGTGAATTCTATCATTACGTGTCAATATTTAATAAACTGGTGACACCATGTCATCATTATAATTCGAGTGATTAAGTTTTTCTCAATGCGAGACTATCTTTAGAATGACTAGGAGGGAAACAAGCGTTTTTTCAAATAATGTATGCTCATATCAAGTTTCAACATTAAATTCAGTGGATGAAGAATCCATGGTGTGTTGAGTAATAGTAGAAAACCCTGGAGGCAAATAATGGAACAATGTTGCTTGATATATGAATGTGACATATCTAACTATTAAGCTAAGTTAGTAATAGTAGACCATACAAGAGGAAATCTAGACAACAGGGATCAGCTTATCAAGAGTCCTGGATTGGAACTAATGGTAGTTTGCCTCCATATGTATCTGGAAGTTGGCTCTCATCAATGTCGCAAAGCAACGTCGGTCTCAATTTTTTGTTCTCAACAAAAATTATCTGTCAAAAATGTGGTAAACATGATATTAGAATCAGCTCTTGATGACAAAAAAATGCTCAACGATTTGTAGACGAGATATGTTCGTTTAAACATGTTTGCCTTTTGCAGTCGTTACCATCCAATTTTGCTTCAATTTTTGAAATTCTAACATTTTGGATATGGGGCAACTATGATGTTCTTGACGTATTCAAACTTGCTCAATCTTAATTCTCTCTCTTAAACTTCCCTTCATTTATTTAAAAGGTATGAACAAACATTTTGTTATGGTTTGATTTCAAGGACCAAAACTGATGACTGAATTGAGGTTCCATAATGGCATTGACAAGAACCATATTTGTTTTAAGCAGATATAGTGTCATTCTGATCATATCAGAGACAAAGACAATATATGAATCTTTTTCTAGTCAATGGTCCGAAAACCACATGTTTTGATAATATTTTAAGTGGCAAAAAAGTTCTATCAATGCAATGCAATCCAGGTTTACAAGAATTTGATGTAGTCTGTCTTGAAAGAGAAAGAGTTACCTTCTTTTTGGTTTTGTTGTCAATAAACGGGTAAACAGCTTTCCATGCTGTCATAAACATGTAAGGCGGGTGGACTATAAATAACTTGCCTAGCCTCTCTGGAAAACAATCCTGCCAGATTACAAAAATAAGCATTTTATGGTTTGAGTCAAATTTGCATCCTATAATTGAAAGAGGATATATTGCTACTTCATATACAATATGAAGAGGCAGAAGAAATTTCACTAGCGGAAGAAATACTTTAGACAACCTACAGAGAGTGTTTTTCTTAATCTTGACATGTTCCGTAGTGAAATACTAAATATGGTGAGAACTCAAACCTGCAAGATTGATAGAGCAGCAAGATGTCCGCGAATGTCACTATTAGAATATCCCCATCCTTCAAGGTCTCCGATGCAGACAAACTTTTCCTGTCCTCTCGGCATTCTGACAGATAAAGATACCATAAAGTATTAATAAAGTCAATTTGCTGAAATATTCCAACATTAGAGAAAGTAGACCTTATTTCCACTGTATTCAACGAAAAATTAAAAATTAACTACTTGTACAGTCCAACAAAATGAAATAATGTGGCTTTAACATTAAGTTTCACAAGGCAGGTTTCCAAGAAATGGATAGGCCGACAACATCACATTCATCTAACAATCATTTATCAATTTAATTGCTTATCCACGTCAATACTGCAATGATATGCTCTTCATTCAAGAACACTGAGGTCCCATTTTCTAGATATCTGTTTTCCATTGGAATAAAGCGAGACAGAGAAATCAAATGTACTCAGACAGAAAATATACCCTGCACAAATTTTGTCGAGAGAGTACGCCACAAAACCTGTACATGAAAAAAAAGAAAAAAGAGGACAATTTAGCTTAATGAAAGATTGATCAATGAGGCTTTTGCTGAGATTTGAAATCAGATTAAGTTGCTAATGTGGTTTCAAATACTATATATGGATTAAATGCAATAACGTACGCTTGAATTCCTCTAGACTCCCTTTGCTAGGTTTATGTTGGGAACCAAAGGCAACTACTATGGGGCGTCCCATCTTATCCAGTCCTTGCATAAAAAGCTTTTTTTGGGCAAGTTCATTTGAAATCTCTGATGTAGATATAAAGCCGTTGGGAACAAATGCTTGCCTCCAGCTTAGGTAATTTAGAAGTAGATTGGAAGCCTTTTCAATATCTAGATCACGAGCTCGCAGAAATCTCCTGATCATAAAATCATCTACATCCTGCAATCCCAAGGAAAACACACACACAACACAAAATAAGCCTGTCAGAGTACTGATTCAAGTAACCATATGCCAGTGAAGCCCTTAATGTAGAATGAGTATGTGTGAGTTTCGGGATGAAAATTTATTTTACATATAAAGGGATGTTGATTTAACTACTAAGAAGTCTGTGTTTTCCGTGCGGTACATGGGCAAATTGAACGCAGGAGTTCAAGGCCGGTAGCCTGGTACACAGTGTTGACCTTTCCAATGCACTACACTTTTCCAATGTTGTGTGCAGGAAGGTTGGACCATGTACAGATCTAATGTTAGGGCATCAGCAAAATTTACATGAAGTGTCTGCCCTAGTCCTGACCCACATTCTCAGACAATCTTTTACATTGCGCTATACAGCTGGAATTTCAGTTGTGAGGAAAAAGAAAAGATAATACTAACTCTGAGGGAAAAGAAAAGAAAGGAAACGACAATGTAGTCCCTTTTTATCGTAAGGAGGGAAAAAAAACTGAAGGATAGAATCGACTCAGGCTCATGTTTGGGGACAAAAATAAATGGAAAGTATCTTAAAAATTTTACCATTATGCCCTTCAAAATTTGGAGTAGAATAGTTTAGGTGAGTCATTTTTCTACAATCGATGTATCTTGTAAAGGTATATATTTTTAGTTGTTTACAAACTAATATTTTCACAAGAAAAGCATCTACTTATTTTTCTTTCATATTCAAATTTGTTTGTTAATATATGTGTCTCTGTGCTTGTCATTTGAGCCGCAACCATATAAGAAGAAACACCTAATGCCTTCTCAGAATGTCCAAAAGCATATAAGAAGAAAAAACTTCATAAACCTAGCTGAGTTTGAGTAGGGATTGACCTTAATCATCATTTGAGTAAGCAAAGTATGGTCTTCATATAGACCCCTCAAATGTGTTTCGTAAATGCATTCAATTCTCAAAATACATGAATTAATTCGGGGAAAAAATACACAAATTAAGAAGACTCATATTACCAAAGGTTCTGTAGCCCAGTGGTATCTCCTTTACCTTCCAAAAGGGATGGTTAGCGTTCGAGTCCTCGTAAGGACAACTGGGTGTGTGAATTTTTCGCCAATGAATTAAAAAATAAATAAAAATATTCATGTTCCAAGATAGTGAACCTGGATAAAATTCATTTATGTATCACATTAATCAAAATGCATCTGATATATGCATATATGTATATACTTAAAAGTCAAAACAAAGGCAAAGGATAATGGTTTATTGCACAGTAGAGGATTCACATATCCACACACACATGTTGTGTCATGAAGATATAGTTTGTTCCTCATAGTTTGTTAAACACAATTAACCAAGATGAAAGAGTAACTAGTAATCAAACAAACAGAAACATTCAGAAGAAATTCAATTAATTTTGATTGTACAAAACAAATAATTCAAAACAGGAAACAAGAACATCAATAGAAAGAGAAAAAGAGAGAGATAGAGTTTGACCTTTGCAGAGGGATTTTGAGTTTGGATGAAGTCTCTCATGATTCCAATTTTGGTTAGCTCTATCTCATTGCTATCCAAGTTATCTTGCACCCCAATTGCACCCTCAACCCCTGTAGACTCCATCACTGTACCCATCAATATTTCTCCAGTTTCGAGAGAGAAAACACTCTGATTCTCTCTATATATGCATAGAGAGAGAAAGGACACTGTTAAGAATGGAAGCTATAAATGCAACGAGAAGAGAAGGGAATGAATGAATTGAACACAAAAGGGGTTTTAATTGTAGTCCTCACATTTGGGCAAGTTTTTAATTCCAAATCACGATCAGGGACTCCATTCTTGACTTGACTTCTCTCTTAACCTCCTTGTTTCTCTGGTTTCGTTGCAAAAGTCGCCGTGGGGGTGATAATACGACGTGCCACAGTAGCGTAGCTGATTTCAGATTTATGGAAAATTGAGCTTTGGTGGGTAAGAATAAGATGACCCAACCACCTTCCATTGGACTTGATTTTTTAAAATAGCGCGATTAATTTAAGGGAAAATTATATTTTGGTGATCAAAATTAAACATAATTGCTATATAGTGATTTTAAAGTCAAAAAAAGATGAATAATGACCAATTTTGAAACTTAATTGATATTAAGTGATTATTTGATAATTTATTACCTAAATAGCCTTCTTATAATATATTATTATGTAAGTAGACAAATTTACCCTTTATATTAACCTAAATAAACACTTACTTAAATTGACTAATAAAAAGACAACAAATTATTAAGGTGAGTCTCTGACGAGAAGATCAAGATGAGAGAGAACTGATGATGGATATTATACATCATTTTCTTCAAGGTTCTAAGAGACATGACGAGAAAATTGTAAATTTTCTTCTTATTCATTATTTTCAAGATATAGTTATTATACTTTACGAGTTGATTTGTCTGAGAGATCTTTCTTAAGATATAAGATTGTAATTTTTAGAAATTTTTAATACTACTTAGTTATAGTTCAAGAAATAATGACTATTGTTGATTAATTTCATAATTTTACTAACTGTTAAAGGGTGTTTCAAAAGTATGATTTGCCACTGTAAATGTTATGAGCGTTCATGTTGGAGAGACTTGAAAAATAAATAAATGATGGAAAAGAAATAATGCTGATAAAGAAATTTTAATTTTTTAATTGGTAAATTGTAAACTAAAAAGGAAAATATTAGATGGTTGAGAGCCTTGAAAAATAGATAAAGGGTGAAAAAAAGATAATGTTGGTAAAGAAATCTTAATTTTTTAAATTGGTAAATTATAAACTAAAAAGGAAAAAAAGAAAACGTTGGATTAGAGAGAGAGAGAGTAGGAGGAGGATGAATTTAATGACTTATTATTTATATTGGATGTCAATTTTATCATCTAAATTTTATTTTTAAAATGTTTATTAAACTTTTAAGTGTTTTTGACCAAATTATCCTTAAATGGTCACTAAATATCAATTAAGTTTTAAGATTGGTCACTATTCACCTTTTTTTGACTTTAAAGTCACTATATAACAATTATGTTTAATTTTGGTCACCAAAATATAATTTTCTCTTAATTTAATCAGCTTAAAGCTAGAATTAGAGTCAAAAGAGAAGGGCAATTCTGATATTTTAAATTTTTTTGAAAGTGAAGGGTTCAACTTTAATCAGTTAACAGCTTTTATTCAACCTCTTGTTTTTTTTTCAACGCGGTGTTTAAATGAACTAGTGATCGTATAAAATTCTCCAAGACGAAAAAAATATGAGCCATGTATGCCAGCTCATTCATATTTATATATATATATATATATATATATATATATATATATAATATTTAGATTAACTGAGAGAAATTTTTATTTGAGTGGCACTCATTTCATTGAATAATTGTAAAGTTTTTATTTTTATAGAGTGTTCAATAGTTAGATATATTAGATTAATTATGTAAATAAGAAATGACATTATAAGGAAATTATCATATTTAATGATATTATTTTTCACTAATATAAACTAATAAGATGCATATGATTTTTTGAGAACTTATCTTTATTGATAATTCGGTGAGCATATTTATACCAAGACATTGCCCACTCACCCAATATCTGCTCCGGACAGGGAAGAGAGTGACATAACAAGGAGTGAATTTGAAAGTCTTCAAAAACAAATTTGAAATTATTTTTAAGGAGGCCAACGATGGAGACTGTTTTAATAAAAAGATAGAGAGAAAAAAAGAAAAAGAAAAAGATTTTGATATAGTTTTTGTTGATTTTAAAGAAAATCTGCAACATGATGTTGGAATTTTTATATATATATTTAAATAATAAAAATTATTTTTTGGTCTTATGTACTACGTTTTCTAAAGTAGGATTGTAAGGTAATTATTCATACTTGATGGATTGGGTTGTACTTTCTAATTTGATGATCTAATTCGGAGTATGATTTTTATACCGTTGGATTGTGGTTTTCCAACTTATTTGGTGTAATTTAATTCTAATCATTAATATCTAAGTTTCCAGGATAAGAAGAGAGACTTAGGTATGCTTGTTTGTAGAGAAGTCGTGTCTCCCTATTGTTGTTATATATAAGGATTTTTAAAAACCCTTATTCAGACCTATCGTATCGACAATTCTCAGAAGAGGATAAAACACTCTAATTTTTTTAGATTTCTCAAAGAGTACTAAGGAATTTTCAAAAGTATTTAAAGTTTAATCTTCTAATCAGGTATGATATCAAAAATTTCTCTTTAATTCATGATTAATTTTGATTTCTATATGTTATTTATTATTTAAACCCAACAATTAGTGGGTTTGTAGAAATCAATATAGTAAAAATTAATTTATTATGTAGCATATTTAAATCGGTGTATTTGAAATCGCACTGATTACCTTTGTGTCCTCGATTTTCGTGAGTGATTAATCATCTGAAAAATTGTTTGTTTGTATTGGCATATGCATAATCAGTTGATTCATACCTATTTGAAAATACTTTGTACAACAAATTTATTGCACGTCAAACGAGAATTTGTTAAGCAATAAATTTGTTATGCTATATATCTATATATATATATATATAGATAAATTTGTTTGTTAAGCAATAAATTTGTGAGGTATGGTCCTTGATCTTGTGTTTTGAAGAGGAAAAAAATACGTACAAACAACAAATTGGTTGGTGCACTTATTAATTTTAGTCATGGTCATGAGTGTATATATATATATATATATATATATATTTTGCAACAGGAGTTCAAAAAGTAGTGTATATATATATATTTTGCAACAGGAGTTCAAAAAGTAAACTATTCCTAGGCACAAGTAATCTGCTGGTCTGAGGATGCCGCACAACCCACCCTAGAACAGAGAAGTCTATATCCCAAGCGTCGGTGCACTTGCATATTTAGTCAAACTTGATTTTCGTGCATTAGAAAGTATTATTATTATTATTATTATTATTATTATTATTTTAGATAGTATGCGTGGAGACGAACTCATTAGATTAAACTAGAGACTGATGCCTATATTTTTGGATCAATTTTGTATTCTCTAATTTCTTGCACAATCAAATAATTTTGTATGCACAATATAGATATATGTATATATACTCAATTGTGTATATATATATATATATATAGTGCATAATTGAGTGATGAATAGTATTATATTGTGCACAATTGAGTGATGAATGCTTTAAATATCATGGTAAATATGTATAAATGTGTACAGTAATTTAAAATTTACATTTTATATTCAGTATGTGAATATATGGGGCATAATTTACTGATCTGTGGTGAACTAATTAAATATTTAATCAATATGATATTCAATACAAGTTCTAATATGTGTACAGTAATTAGTTGATGTCAAAGAATAGTTGAATAGAAATTTTCTTTGAAATTTTATCATCAATTAGATTGTTTACATGACAATATTGTGAATAAGTGGTTTATTTATGAATGGTGAGAATAAATGTTGTAGATGTTCTTAAGATTGTATTACATATACAAGTCAGCTTTAGCTTGAAAATCTATGGGATTTGCGTGCTATAAGTAAAAGTAGTATTAACTTGATTGATTGAAAGAAGCTAGTATTTTAAATTGTTTACTGAATAAATAATATGCATGCATCAAGTATTTATAATTTTCTTTCAACTAAAGTATAGAAAGAACTAAGATTTTTAAATCTTGATTGATGTGCATGTTATTATATTGTTCACTGTAATTTCTCAAGATGTATGAGGAGGCTTTATTTTATTTGTATTAAAGCCATTTATATTAAAGTGAAATCAAGTGTTCCATAATATTTGGGTTTAGTTTATGTGCATTATAAAGAAGTTGTTGAACTTAAATAAATAAAACTTCTGCACTATAGGTCTTCCTTGGGGTTTAGGAAGACCGGTAAAGTGATCGTTTCAAATGTGGTAGCCAAAGTGGGTGATGTTTGCCAAAAGGTGACACGCTCATGGAGGTTATTATTTTTTGAAAACGGAAGTTATTATTTTTTTGAAATTTTAAGACATTGGTCTTATTGAGGTCTCACAGTACACTTACCTACATGAGGGCATTTGTTCTGCCAAAAGGTGATCAATGTCTTAGTGTGGAATAAGTGAGTAGAATATTTGAGAGTGCTTAAATTATAACTAAATAACCCTTTTCCCAGAAGGTAGTGAAAGTGTTTAGAAATAATTCAAATATAATCAAATAGGTCTATGTGCGATTTTATCGCAGGTTTGGGGGTAAAGTAAAAATCTAAAATTTTACCAAAAGGTGATTTTTAGATGGCATTTTATTTGTTCCCACAGGGTGGATGGTTTTTGCACATAGTAAAATACCGTGAGAAATTCGGTTTAAAACCACAAGTACGAATTAAAGTAATAATCCCTAAAGTTATGACATATTATTTTATATGTTGTTTATGTGGTATTATTCAGTATAACATTTATTCAGATTACAGACGCTTCCGCAATTTAAAGATAGCTCATAAGGATTGAACCATTGAATGGTTAAAATTATATTGCCCAGAAGACATGTTTTTGAGGAAGAAACCTATATGCCCAGTGCGGAGTCTTTTTAGGTGTAAAAATTGTTGCAATTTTAGGTGGACTAAAGTTACTACCATGCCATTAGGTTAATTTATGCTTCTATTGGTGATACTATTCAGGGTGGTATTCTAGTTTTGATATTGCCAAGGAACTTCTTGATTTAATCAAGAAGAGTTAATGGGTATTAAGAAGCAACTACAATACTATTATTTGACATTGATTATGTTAGTGAGATATGATGGCAATGGTTCAGTAAGGGAGTACATCTATAAGATGTGCAAGCTGGTTAATGATCTGAGGTAGTAGGGAGTCATATTTGATGATAAGTTATTTGTCCACTTGGTAATCTATTCTCTACTCAGGTTTTTTCAACTTTTTAAGGTGAATTATAATTCACAAGAAGTTAAATGTGGTATTAATCAACTGTTA